CGGACGGATTACACGCCACTGAACACAAGGCGGACCGAGATCTTAATGACGATCAAGGACGCCCCGTACGTGAAATGGCCACCACGCCTAAAGGGAAATCCAAACGAAAGAAACAAGAATTTGTATTGTAGTTTCCATAAAGACCATGGTCACAGTACCGAGTAGTGCAATAACCTCCGAGACGAAATAGAGGGGCTCATCCGTCGCGGATACTTAAGAAACTTTGTACAGCACAACAATAATAGCAATAAAGCGGATCGGCCAGGCGAGCACGAAAAGGACGCCCCTGAAACTAGCAGCATGCCTGCCGAACCGTTGCAGCGACAGCCTCCGGTAGAGAGGCTAATTCGGGGAAACATCCATGTAATTGTGGGAAGTTCGGTGGTAGCGGGGTGTACATCGGCGGCAGCCCGGACTTCAGTTCGCGAAGCAGTCCTCGATGAGCGGAACCCTCCGAAAAGGCCAAAGACCGAAGAGCCAATCCTCTTCATGGAAGACGATGCGCGAGGAGTTCGCTACCCTCACTATGACGCGCTTGTCATTAAACTAAGRATCAGCGACTTCGAGGTTAGACGTGTACTCGTAGATTCGGGCAGCTCGGCAGACATCCTCTTCAAATCAGCGTTTGATCGGCTACAGCTGCCGAGGAGCGAACTAAAGCCCGCAAATACTCCCCTGGAGGGCTTCAGCGGAGAGGAAGTCAGGCCCCTCGGAAAAATAACGATGCCTGTGGAAGTTGGCACGTGGCCTGTGGAAAAATAACGGTGCCTGTGGAAGTCAGCTCGAAGACAGGACAACCAGCACTTAAACAAAAAGCCATTTCATTTCAGATAAAGGTGTACATTCAAAAAAAAAAAGCCATTTTACAAATCAGGGGCTACTTCATCATTATCAGAAGCAACTTCGACAACACCCGAAGGACCTGCCTCCCCCTCGGAGTCCGGTTCGGCATCCGCAGCATTGGCCATCTCTTGAGTAATGCACGAAGTGGATATGGCGCTGGTATTGAGCTCAGGGTACGTATTCCGGATCATCCACCGGCTTAGCTTGAAACCCCTTCTGTAGGAGTCCACCATCAGATCATTGAAATCCGGCGAAGCAATATAATCACTGACAGCTTTTTTCTTCGCGTCTTCGATGCCTTGAGAGAAGATCTGAGTCCTCTCCCTGATATCCTCCTGAAGATACTCGACCTRRTGCTGCAGGTCCAGCTTCAATTCCGCCATATGCTTCACCACCACTCCCATGGCCTCAGCATCTCTCTGAGACCTCGCTTGCCTAGACCGCGCAAGGCGAGCAGCCTCCTCAGCAGCACGAGCAGCCTCCTACCTCGTTCCTGGGGGGTAGGAGCCTTTTATAACCACAGCTGCTGAGGAGGCTGCTCGTGCTGCTGAGGAGGCTGCTCGCCTTGCGCGGTCTAGGCAAGCGAGGTCTCAGAGAGATGTTGAGGCCATGGGAGTGGTGGTGAAGCATATGGCGGAATTGAAGCTGGACCTGCAGCATCATGTCGAGTATCTTCAGGAGGATATCAGGGAGAGGACTCAGATCTTCTCTCAAGGCATCGAGGGCGCGAAGAAAAAAGCTGTCAGTGATTATATTGCTTCGCCGGATTTCGATGATCTGATGGTGGACTCCTACAGGAGGGGTTTYAAGCTAAGCCGGTGGATGATCCGGAATACATACCCTGAGCTCGATACCAGCGCCATATCCACTTCGCGCATTACTCAAGAGATGGCCAATG